TGATACAGATTTAAAGTTGTTGTAACTCTTGATGACACATAATTCCCACATTCATTTAACAGTCTCATATGTCTCCCATGCAATAATACATTTCCAAATTCTAAAATAGTAAATGTGTGATCTATAAAACAATGAATACAAGAATTATTTGATAATAGAATGATGCAATGTAAGTATGTACATTAATGCACAGTGTGCATGTCTTTTTCTCTCTGTTTCATCAGTGCTGCTGGTCCGTCTGCACACCTCCTGCCGACCTGACAGTCCCACTCAGGCAGGCACAGCACTCATGTCCTGATACAGTATTAGTATCCATCACTTCTAGTGTGCATGCTGCGTCCTGCAGAGCTCTGCTGTGTTTTCCACCGTCTGTTTTCTGGTACAAACTGACGTCTTTGTGGCATTTCGGCCTTCCCGCATCAGACATGTCTGTCAGCGGCCCTTTCTTTCCCTCCTCTCTCTATCAAAGGAGTGACATGTGTCCAGGTGCACGCCGCACTCTTTCTCTCCTACACTTGCTGCTCAACAGCTTCTTTGTTTTTGTTTAGCGTTTAGTTTTTCGACTCTGAGCCTCTGGAGATCCGCCTCTGTTTGACGGAGCAGTTTTCTTGGGCCTGCTGGCCAAAGCTCTGTGGGACGAAAAACATTGGTCACATGATCAAAAACATAATTAAAATGTAAAGGAGATTGGTTTACACCTAAATCTAGAAGACAATTTCGACGGCATCAATTTATTTTAAAGTGTATCGTCTATCCTTCTTACATGAAATTCAATATAGATCAATATATAGTCTAAAAACCTTTTGTTTGTTACAAATATTTCTCCAAAAATTGAGTGATGAGCCATTAAACTTAAATCTCTCTCAGATCTATAACCTCTTTTTATTCATTTTAATAATCTCTTTTTATTTATCTTTAAACAACCTGCTCTTGCCTCTCGTAATAATCTACCACTTCTATTCTGTGTATTAAGATTTTTTCGTATTTATTCCTAATATACAGGTGCATATCCCTTGTTAACGTATACAGAAAGCTTTATATGTATGTGTATTCATTGTGTATAACTCATCATCACTGAGGAACTTGTGGGTGTTTTATCTCAAAGTGTTTTCCTATGATTTGTCTTATGTATTTTTTTTTCTAAAGAACGCCTTTGGGATCGAGATCATTTATCTCAAGATGTTTGTCCTACTCATAAACATTTGAGTGATTCAAAACTCACCTGAGAATTCGGAGGTTGCTGAGCAGACGTCTCTTCTCAGATTTAATTTCAGGGCTGCAAAAGAGTAAATTGTATGGTTATGAAAGATCGACCTAAATTACTTCAAAGTCACTCTAAATGCTTTATTGATATTGTTTTAGTTAAAAGAAACCACCACTGGCATGAGAGCATCCAACATAGTTACTGTTTTACTCTCAGTATCCTAAAACAACTCTTATCTTTACAGGCTCACTATGTTGCAAGAAAACTGAACCCACCCACTCAGCAGTTTTCATTCCTGAAGAGGTTTAACCATGAAGCCCTTGTCACCACAGTATGCCCTGTTTCTCTGTGGTGACATTATTTGTTTGTCATTTTTAGGAAACGTGAATGCTTGGCTTGGCTCCAGACCACTGTCAAATTTACTGTTTAGTCTTTGCAACCAGTCAGAAACAGGTGTTCTGAACCTTGCTTTATTATTTTGAGGATCCCACACACACGGTTTGCACTGCAGTGAAATTTGATTGTCCTCAGACTGAACCACTCCTCATCCTCTTCAAAGGGCATCAACACCTGGCTCTGCAAACAGCTCTTAACTCACATTGGCCTGTGACTAATGCTCGACAGTGTGGCTTTGGTTCTGCATGGAATGCTTGAACCCCCCCATGACTCACCTGTGACTGCAGAAGTTGGTACAGGATTGATCATCAGGTTTGGCACAGCTGCAGCGGCCAGTGGACCTCCGGCGCCGGGACAGAGCGCTGCCGAGACCATAAACTGTCGTCTTACTGCAGAGAGAAGGAGCGACTCAGTATAAACACACTGCAGACTTTGGTCTTTGATACTTCATGCTGTTATATATAATGATAGCCTGTTTGACTTGCAGATACTGAGTTAAATGCACAATGAACCTTTGTGCTGAGACTTGAATTATTACCCAGATTTGGCTGATTGTCCAAAATATGAATATATCTGTGTGTGTGTGTGTGTGTGTGTGTGTGTGTGTGTGTGTGTTCTCTTGCTCACCTGGGCGTATTGACCCAGATGATATCCAGGTGGCAGAAGTAGTGGCACTCTGAGTCCAGCAGGCTGCTGCAGGCACAGCGCCTGGTCCTTAGTCTTTGTGTTGGGATCCAATCGGCAGCCTCCTCTTTCAGCTGCTTGTTTACAGGAAGACTCAAACCTGTTTGAACACAAAGAGCCACTCGCTCCGTGAACATCAACACCTGATAAAACCAAACCAGCTCCTCAGTGGCTCTGTCTCACTATAACTACTCTGCACTTTTTCAATACTAAAGACATAGAATTGAGACAGTATATAAAATCCAGGATTTTTCTAAATCGGGGGCCTTAAAGGTGCCACAATTTACACAGAGGGGCCAATTCTTCAGTCTTAAGTCATTCCTTAGCCACACATCCTTTAATTGAAAAGTGTTCACATTGTGTTCTTCAAAAAAGCTTACATAATAAAAATTCTTAACAATTATTGTTGGTATCAAAGTCACACAAACAAACTCTATATTTCTTCTTTATTGTTTTGGATTAAAACAAACAAAAACAAGAAAGAATTGTTTCCATTTTCCTTCTACTTTTATGACAGAAATTAATTTCAGAATGCATACCAAGATTTAGGGAGAGTAAAAATCATCTTGAGATCATATGAACTATTATTACGTTAAAATACATCCTATGTCTACTTCTGAGCTTGTCAAAACACAACATAACAAAATACAATATGTGCGCCACTGTGAACAATATGTTGAACAGAAACCAAAATTGAATTGCTTCTGTAAATTCTCTTTCAGCACAACCAAGAAAGTTTTTTTAGGCTGACATATAGATTCATGAGCCTGCTCCTAAACTCATGCACCCTCCGAGACAAGAATATAAAGTGGCTGTTTTGTTCATAACACTCCACAGTATTTCAAAATTAGACTCACCATCCTGCATGGAGGCCCAGAGTGAGATGAAAAGAAGAACGCTGGTGTGAGCAGACATAGCTGACAGCAGATGGATGGAGCACTCGGAGTGTCTCTTCTCTGTTCTCTTACAGCTGTGTTGTTAATGTGCTGCAGGTGCCTGAGCTCTGCCTCTTAAACGTATTCCTCGCCTCTATCTCCCATGATGTCACGATGGAAGCCCCACCCACGACTGCTCGCCATGGAGCCACACGGTCAAACCCCAGGGTGTTGGTACCTGGGACACATTCCAAGAATATCTCTGTATCCTCTCAGTGACTCTGCTGACACCTGCTGAGTAATATTTATGTCTGCAGTTTGTCTCAGAATAAGAAATAGTCTGTTTCCTCTGGCAATGCATGAGGCTAATGAATCCTGAATATGTTCTAAAGAGTGATGGAGGACATGTGGTATGTCAACGAGATCAATTCAGTGTGGATTATTCCAAAGCAGAGGTTTCTCCTCTGGTGCAAAATAAATGTATATGATATAAAACAAAATCAAGGTTAATGACTGATATCCAGATGAAGATGTTTTTAATTTTAAGGATCAAACCAACATGTTAGGCTCCTGATCCAAAGACAAACATTATGGTATGTGATCGTGACCTTTAATATACATTGTGACAAGTTGGAATGTATGGTATAGACTCTTATTTTGAGCAATAACAGCTGAATAAAGTTTCAACGAGTGCACTGTAATGATAGAAATGTTGCTTTTCTTTATGACTTTTCAAGATAAATGATACAATTTGGTTGTTAGATGCTCATGCAATGAATAAACTTTTAAAGCAGCTGTAATCAATATTTTAATGCAGTTGGTGTGTTATTATATTGTGAATAAATACTGTTTTATTTTAAATACTCTGAATTATTTGGTTTGTATTGTTATCAATCTAACATTCTACCACAATGGACATTATGATTTCATAATCTGCATTGTAAGAATCACATGTATTTAGGGGATGTTTGGCCTTTGCTCTTCTGACATTCATTCTTGTTGTTATTTTGTTTGATGATCAGTTGTCACGCACAAAATTTTAGAGTTTACTGAACTGATGCCTCGATTAAGACTGGTGAAGGACCAAACACACACACACACACACACTCACACACACACACACACACACACACACACACACACACACACACACACACAGAGATAAGACTGCTCCTTCCTACCCACTGATAACAGGGCTCCTTTAGTCATGTCCCACCCACATGGTCCCCAGGGTGCAGTTTCAGCCATGCCAGTGTCATGCAGATAACCAAATGGCAGCCTTTACCCATGTAAATACAGTATGTTCAGATTAGTGGCCTGCATTTTATCTTCACTGCTGTGGTCATTCAACAGTAGCTGATATTAGATGTTGGACAATGGATTATGAAAATGTGGAGTATCATGTCTTTTTTTCAACTCTCTAACCTTTGATGACTTCACGTCCAAATCATGTCAAGCAGGACGAGTATCGGAGAACAATATTTATCATAGATTGATTTGTAATCACTTTAAATTGTCAGTTCTGTTTGTTTGTTGTGATTACATAATGGTAGGTAAATGAATAAAATTAA